GGCAGCAGATCTGATCGCCTCGCCTTTGTTTTGTCCCCAGAACGGCTTTGCTGTGGTGCGGCCACCCGGACATCACGCGGATCCTTCCACTGCCATGTAAGGGCCCCTTCCCACGCCGCGGGGCTTTGGGCTGGCGTGTGGGAAGCCCCCAAAAAACCAGCTCCTTGGCTCAAAATCGCTCCAGACGAACCCCCACCGGGACCCATCTGTATCCAGGCCAGGGGGGAGGGTGAGCCCACCCTTCGGGGGGGCACGTGGGCCAGGAGGGAAGGGTGCTCAGGAACGTCCCCAGAGCGCTAACTGCCTCCGACTCCCTCTTTGCAGGGGATTCTGCTTCTTCAACTCGGTGGCCATTGCGGCAAGGCAGCTGCAGCAGAAAGGGAAACTCAGCAAGATCCTCATTGTGGACTGGGTAAGTCCCCTCTGTCCCCCAGCGTGTCCCCGCTCCTCCCCAGGCCGTCCCCAGGCGTGGGTGTCCACACCTTCTCCCAGCTCTGGTTTGAAGCTGGACCAGAGAGCTGCGAAACCTCCTCCTTTGGGGACTGGCTGCCAGGAGTGCGGCTGGGAACCCCGCGGCGTGTGGATGGGGGAGCAGGAGCAGCTCCTGGGGATGGGAGACCCAGCCCTGGAGCAGGGTAGAGATCCAGTTGCTTTTAGCTCCGTTAGGCTATTGGGCCACCATCAAGGCTGAAAAAAAAAAGAGCTCTCTCCCAGTCTCTCCCTCCCTCTAGGATGTTCACCACGGCAATGGGACTCAGCAGATCTTCTACAGAGACCCTGACGTTCTCTACATCTCTCTGCATCGTCACGATGATGGCAACTTCTTCCCCGGTAGCGGGGCCGCCGACGAGGTAAAAAGCACTGAGGAGGCTGCGAGATCTGGGCAGCTCTGCCCGGGGTTGGCAGCGCTGGCGGCGAAGGGGACGGCCGGGGGAGCGGGGCGCTGCGGGGTTTGAGCAGGGGGTGGATGTGTGTCGGTGCCTTGTGGGCTCCTTTCCCATTGATGCCTTATCCTGCCGGCTTCACCCCGCTCGGGGCCGAGGCTTCATCCCAGCCTGCAGCCAGCAGCCCGGGGACGGTGACTGATAGCTGCACGGCTCTGGGGAATGTCAGGAAAACGCCCCGGCTTCTGCTGCTCTTCAGCAAGCTCTGCCAACCCAGCCGGCTCCTGCGGCACAGGGCAGGGGGTCCAGGACACCCCGCTCTGCCTCCCCAGAGCCTGGCAGAGGTGCAGCCCCCTCAGGCCGCTGCCCCAGCGTCCCTGCAGGCCCCATCCAGGCTTTCACCGCTGTCGTTGCTCTCTTGCAGGTTGGTGCTGGCCCCGGCGAGGGATTTAATGTCAACATAGCCTGGACTGGAGGGCTCGACCCCCCCATGGGAGACCCTGAGTACCTGGCTGCTTTCAGGTGCTGTTCCTTGCGTTTCTGCTCATCTCCTCCTTCCCTTTGCGTCAGGCAGAGCCGGCACTTAAACACCTTTTGTTTGTTTTTTACCCACGCAGGACGGTGGTGATGCCAATCGCACACGAATTCTCCCCCGATGTGGTGCTGGTGTCGGCCGGCTTCGACGCAGCTGACGGCCA